AGTGCCCGCGCAGATCGAGTTTGTTTCCGATATTCGATAAAAATCAATATCGAAATCCTGTTTTTTGAGCAATTGTGGTAAATAAAAAGAGCTAGAGTCTCCAAACTTAACATGATGCTTCTAGAATAGTATATATATATTTAATACCTATCGCCTGTTGGAAGAAGAGGGTTCAGGGTATCCCCTAGTCGGGAGTTCCCGACTAGAACCTCTTACTTGTTTCTATATTTCAGTGTGCAAGAAAATTCGTACTATAGCTCATCAATTTTCTGCAGAATTTCGAATGCATTTCGGAGACTGAATCCTTTGGCAAAAGTTTTGAAAACAAAATGCTTTTTTTTTTTTTTGTTGGCATTTTGCTGAATCAACAAACAGGGAGAGCAAAAGCTGAAAAACTATTGGCGTCATCGTGTTGTCGGTGGCACAACATTCATCTTCCTCGCGCCGGAAACGCCAGTGGAAAACTCAGCAGTAGCTTTGGGCGCTGGGCTCTGGGCTCTGAGGCAGTTCTCTGGGCAGATACAGCGCTGTTTTCGCCACAATTTAAATAAAAAGGGAATTTCTCATTTCGGTGGTGCAGCAGGAGCCAGATTCAGAGCCAAAGCCAGTGAGTGATGGTCGCTGCTTGCTCACAGATTGAATGGAGTGCTTCCGACTTCCGGATTGGGGTTCAAATGCGAGCGCTGCACTTTCGTCTGGAAAACTGCAATGCACCGCAGAAACTTGACAGCCGTTGCGCAAAACATTGTCCTCCCACTTTGACTTGGCCAAGTTTCTCATCTCTGAACTGACAACATTTTGCTTTATTTTCGGTTTTCTTCGGCTTGGCTTAACACAACTGGCGAGCTGCAGGCGCTCTGTGTTGGGCCACTGTCTTGCAGTTCTTCTTGTGGGATGGCTGAGCCGCAGACACTTTGTCTGCCACCCGCCCATAAATCTAAGCGCGCGTTCTGTGCGACGCAGTTGTTCTGCAGCCTGCGCTCCTTGTTTAAATATTTGTGTATAGAAAACGAAATGACTTCGAAACATCAAAGTGTTGGAGTTCACAGCGCGCCAGCTGAGAGTAATGGGTTTTCTACTTTCCATATTTTTGTTTCACTGCAGAGGTGGCATCCATCAGCGCTCCAGCCGTCAACAGCTGGCGCCTATTTAAATTTCCAGCCAGGAGTTAAAGAAGTCCAAGAGCAGCCAGCTCAGGCTCAGAGCGCACCGGAAACTAAATAGGAAGTGTATTAGCTGGCCAAGCGGAAACGTATTTACTGATCGCATATCTCTGGACAACATTCAGCATCACCGTCACCGTCACCAGCACCGAGGACAGTTCCAACACCGACACCGTCACCGTCCCCGACACCGGTTTTGCCGGCTGCAGCAGGCGCCACTGCAGCAGGAAATGCAGCTTTGGCTGCCCGCCCGTCTGGTCATCGTGTGGCGCAGGTCCGCAGCTGTTTGCTTGCCCCAGCTCCAGCAGATACTCCAGCCAGCCCCGTTCAGCTTGGCAAGGATGCTCTTAATTTATGGCATTGAACTTTTATTGGGCGAATTTCTGTTCATTTCCATGCGTGTATTAAGAATAATGGCCGCATGTGCCGGAAGTGCTTCATTTTAAAAGGGTGAATCTGTTGCCACTGTACCACCCAATACGATATAGGAACGTATGTATGCACTGTATCTGTATATATATATATATATATATATATACATATATATATATGCATATATACACACAAATATGATACAGAAATTAAAAATTTTGGTACTGACGGATTTGCTAATTGACTGCCTGATTGACTGGTGATTAACGCATAGCAAAGCCCGTATATTCATTTATGTATGTTCTTTAAAACTTATTACCCCGTCAACTACTTAAAAAAAAATACTTCAAAAGCGCCCCTCTACGCAATTCTCATAAATTAGAGAAAGACTTACAGGTTTTTATGCCTTATCTATCGTGCACAATCCTCTGCCCCTCTCTCTCTCTCTCTCTCTGTCTCTTTTCCTCCTATTTCTGTATAGCTCTGTATTTATTTATTTCTTTTGTTACTAGTAACTGTCAAAGAAATAATCGTTCTTGTATGTGAATTTTTGGGTAAATATATATTTTTATATACTACCCTATTTATACATAAATATATATATAATATAAATTTAGGCAGGACCTGGACATGAGCTATCCCCCATTATTCTAAGTATCCTTTAAAACTTAAAACTGAATTAATAAACCCTTACTTCTTAAAAAGTATTACTCAAGGGGTATACAGTTTAAAAAACTTTTTTTACATAATCTTAATCAATTTCTACATGTAATTTTCAGATGAAAATATCTCAATAAGCCATAAGATATACATTTTCCATGTATTCTTTTTATATTTTATATTCACTTATGAGTCCATAATATAAACCAAAACTTCAGCTATCGTTAAATATATAAAATTAAATTAATTACGGAACATTGTGCAGATATATATTAACAATTGTGCGACTTAATTAAATTTACGCATTCATTTATCATGAGTTCATTTTTGCGAATTCCATACAAATGTGCAAACAATGCAATGCTGCGGTCTGTATATGAACTCAATGGAATATTGGCAATGAGATGCAGTTAATTTATAGAGAACAACTGGAATGGGTACCAAGCTTGAAAGTAAACCAAGCAACTGCTTTGTCTAAAATAAGTTTTTCAAAATGCATTTCCTGACCTAAGGAAATCTTATAAATATTTTTATTAATCAATCAACACTCTTGCTTCTTATTGCTCTATTATTGTTATTAATATGAATTTTAGTTAATAGCCCCTTGCTAACAGAAAAATGTCCCTTCTTATTAATTACCTTATAAGCCCTAATACCTTACTTCAAGTTCATGTCTATAAGATCTATCTAACAAAATACAATCCAATCCCAATGGATACCAATCGCATATGATAAAATCTTTCGCTTGGGTTGGTAAATTCAATAAAAAATCACAGTGCGAATGGGGGAACAAAGTGTTGCATTTGCCACCGTGTGACCGCTAGGCGTTGCAAGTGCGTTTATGGTTTGATGATTTACAGTCACAGCCATAAATATTCGCACGGCCAGTGCGCACATTATTCGCGATTTATGCTGCGCCGCCCATAATTCATGCAACAGCACATGTAAAATTTATGCAATTATTAATTTAACACTCCCTCGCACCGCAACGGACCCACTCACCCAATCCCCTACTCTAGCGCTTATTATCCGCTAAAAACTGGACACAAAAGCAGATCTAATCTGGCCCAGCTAAGCGTTCTAGTCGTACGAACCAAATTGGGGCGACAATGCAACAAATATACTGCTGGCAGTTGTGCTCGTTGCTGGGGCAACTCGCCCACCCGCTCACCCACCGCACCGTCACCCGGCTGTGGCACCATAATTTACCCGACGAGCAAAAACACTCACGAAAATAATAAATGTCCAATATGTTTGCCGGCTGGCAACATGGCAGACTCGGCAAAAGAAACCAACTCCCACACAGCAGCAAATCGACAGCAACAACAATAAGAAAAAAGCTCATTCATTTGGCATGTGTGAAACAAACAGCAGCTCCAAAGCGTGGCAGTTGTCTGAATGGTCTGCTATGTGCCATGGTCCAGTAAAGGTTCGTCCTGGGGCTGGAAGTAACTGCCGCCGCCCTTAATGCAGGCCACCTGCTAGGCTCGAGTGGACGGCGCGGACAGGCGGAGTTCGGTTCGAACATGGACAGCATGTCGCTCCATTAATTTGCCATAAAACAGAAGTGGACTAAAATTTGTTTGTAGTTGTCGTTGTTGTTGGTGTTGCTCCAGCAAAAAATTACAAATGGTTCCAAGCGCACAAAAGATAGTTGGAGAAACAGAGAGCAAGACAGCGGGTACGGATAACTACGGCTTGCTAATTTATGAACCCAACAATTTTGATGTTCTGTAAAATGTCCACAATGACGTATTGAGAACAGAACAAAGTGGCACGAAGAGCAAAATGACAAACATTAAGATATTAAAAGGACATTTGAACAATTGAAAAAATGCCCATGGAGTGCATCAATTCAAAGAACGTACATATTACTAATGATCACATATGTATATGTACATACTTTATGTTGTCCCAATTCAATTTTCTCTTTATTTAAATTCTAATAAATTAAAAATAGATATATATATACATTATCTCTGCCTTTCTGTTCTTAAAATAATAGTTCGTGTAAATTTACAGGAAAGCAAGTAATTAAAAATATATATTTATCTCTATCTATAAAACTGTTTGTCCTCCTCTGACTGACTGACTGATTGGCGATCAACGCACAGCCCAAACGTGCGGTGCACGCTAATCCGCAAAAAAATCCGCAAGTGTGGGAAATTCGGAAAAACCCTTTGGAGGAAACTTTTTTGTTTACGGCTTCAAGGTAGTAGAAAAAGTTAAATTTAAAATTTAGCCGGCATACAGGCGCAGACTTTGATTTTGCAGCTTTGTCGCCTTTTTGTTGCTTATAATTCTCAAGTAGTTATAGCTTAAGACGCAGAAAAAGGGCTTGTTAATCTAGAGTTAGTAGCAAAGTTTGCAGTTGACAAAACTGGGAGGCTCCTGAAATAGCCGTAAAACTAGCTCACTCTTGACGCTTATACCTTATACCTTGCTGTTCTTGCTCGTTATGACCCACGTTGACCTCGAGTCAGCTAGCTAAAGTTGAGTATATATGTACTTATTATCATGAAATTTATGAATATATATTTTTTTTATATTTACGTATCCGGTCTGAGCTATCAAATGCCAATTCAATAACTCATAATTCTGACTGAGACCAGTTATACTTGAGTATTTTATTTTATATATATGTACATACAAATGAAATATATTTTATGAGTCAATTTATATACGTATTTTTGGTAGAGATATTGTGAGTAATATTATTAAATTTGTAATAGTCTTCAAAAGGAAGAATATAAAATGTATATTGATAAATTTGCAGCTAGCGACCAGAACTTTTATTAATACTAATTTCTTTTTCTCATATTACATTTTTGTATGGCTGCCAAAAATCTTAAAATTTGTTATGCTAATCATTGTCAAGAAGAGCCGAGCAAATACAGATTATTCTCCGAGTAACTCCCACTGAGTGTTCTCTAGATAATCCAAAAAAATAAAATGTTTATGTTAAAACTAAATTCTTCCTATATATGTATATACAAGTATTGCAGACTTAAGATCTGATTTCAATACTCTTTTTAAGGGCGTCATTGATCATATTTTCAAAATGTTGTATATTTGTGAGTAATGTCAAACTTTGGGCACACTGGCCCGCATTCGGGGCACTGCTAATGACGCCATACAAGTAGTGCCGGTTCGTATCCCGCGAGAAGCTTTGCGTCTCCCGCTGCGCCGTGAAGCCGCCTCCGCTGTCGCCATGGCAGGCCAGGGACTTGCCCTGCGTATACATGCAGAACTTATCGGCACTTATATCCCGCAGGCTGGTGACGCACACGGCGTTCATTTTCGATTCCGCCGGCACAAACTGCAACTCGCGCTTATCCTTAAAGTTCCAGCCCGCAAATTGGCCACGCACCTCGTTATTGACGGTCTCCTTCAAGGCATAGTCGAAGAAGTGCACGCACACCGGCCGGATGACATTGCTCAGCTCGTATGGCTCCTCCAGTACGATCAGCGCCAAATCGTTGAGGAAATTGTCCTCACGTCCCTTGTAGCGACTGTATTAATAAATTATATCAAATTAATTGGAATATTGCAAAGTAAGAAAATAATATGTATTATATAACATTAAAATATAAAATATACTTCAATAATATTATAATAAAAATATTCCAATTTATGTGTATATTAATACCAATGCGCAAGACCCTAGCTTAGGACATTCTTAGGAATTAATTTGAATCCTGAAGCCATTGAAAATAGGTAAAAAGGCTATAATGGTTTTGTACAAATGTATGTAACAGGCAGAATGATCAGCATCAATAATCCAGTCTGACCGTTCGTTTGTCCGTCTGACTGTCTGACCGTCTGACCATATGTATAATGCGTCGATCTCATGACTTATAAGAGCTAGAGTCTTGAACGTCTATGAATGCAGTTCCTCCTAGTACATGCGCAATCGAAAATCGATTACTAGCCCCGTTTTCAGATCGACTCAGTTCTTCGTCCTCATCAAGAATATATATACACTATATATAAATGACTCCGTCTGCCTATCACATACATTTGCGGAATACATTATACTCTTCTTACCTATTTCAAATGGGTTCAAATAAAATTAATAAAATGACTAGATGAAGCTCTTAGCTACAATAACATCAGTAGTAAAGTGAAACTTCAGTAAAGAATTTCAAAAAATTCGGCAAGCTTCTGTTAATACAAGTAAGAACCCAACACTTACGGTGCCACTATAATGTCCTGCACGTCCCGTTTGCGATCCTCGTTGGTGACATCATTGTACCCCCTATAGAGCTTGGCGGCAACCACGCGGAACGTTTCGAAACTGTAGGTTTGCCCGGACACCTCGCTGAACACACAATGGGCGGCCGTGATGACCAGGTCGGGGGTGAGCAGGGTGCCGCCGCAGACGAAATTGTAGTCCTTCTCGTTGTGCCAGACGTAGAGGCCAACGTGCCAGGGCACCACCGTGTTGTTGACGGAGTAGCCAAAGGCCGAGAACTGCTTGATGGGTGTCGCAATCTGGCCGCACTCCTGGTCGCAGCGCTCCCGCTCACGGCTCCAGTGACCGCTGGGCAGGCACTTGATATCCGGCAGCGTAGTCCTGAGCGTTTGGAAGCCGGTGGCGCAGACGAACTTCACCTCGGTGCCAGGTGGATGGTAGCGTTGGCCGCAATTAACCTGCTGACCGTTATAAATACATGTCGCCCTAGTGGAATAGCCGTTGAACAGGTTCTTGGAGTGGCCGCTCGAGTCACGCAAGGAGTCGCAGTATTCTGTAAGCCAAGAACAGATGCCATTAGCTATGAAGATCAGGATCCTGTCCAGCTGCTGTTGCCCTCAGTTACTCACTCACGCATTTTGGCACAATGGGCAGACTCCACTTGCGATTGGCGCAGTGGCTGCTCTCGGCGCCCTCCAGCACGTAGCCGGGATTGCAAGAGAAGTAGACGGTCGCCCTGATAATGGGTGGCGTCAAAAGGGTGCCATGATGATCCTTCAGTATGGGCTGCTCATCACCACGCGGCAGTGGGCAACCCAGCTGATCCGTCAACTCCACGAACAGCTGCTGTGTGGGCTTTCCGGTTGTGTTGCACAACAATGGCGCCTCGTCGGACCCATCGAAGCAGTCGGACTTGCCATTGCAAGTCAGCTGGTTGGAAATGCAGCCGCCAGTGGCGCATTTGAACGCGTAGCCCGGGCACTCGATGTGTCCGCACAACGTGACCGACTCGTCAAAGCCGCTGCCGTCTCCACAGTCATCCTGGCCATCGCACAGATACTTGCTCTTATCAATGCATATGCCAGAGGGGCACTTGATCTCGTTGCTCCTAGAAATAGAAATCGATGCATTTATCTGGATCGGACAATCGGACAACTATTTCAACCACTAAGCACTCACTGACAGTTGCCCTGCTGGCGGTTATCGAACTCCCGTATATCGTCATCGGTGCCACATCGCAGCAACGTCTCATCCGATCCGTCTGCGCACTCATTTTCCCCATTGCAGGGCGCCGTGCCGATCACACATGCCCCGTAGCTGCACTGGAAGTAGGGCTTGCTGCAATGCTTTCGGTGCGAGACACACGTCTGACCCGTCTCGTCCGACCCATCTGGGCAGTTCTTGATGCCGTCGCACGCATCGAACTTCGATATGCAGCTGCCATTATCGCACTCGAATTTGGTGGGGCCGCAGGCCCCATACACTGCTCCTATTTGACATACAGAAAGTTAGCATTAGCCTTTTTTATACAAAAAATTAAAAATATAATAAAAGCAAAAAGTGCGCTCGAAAATCTTGATAAGCCAAAAAAAAAATCTAGAACAAGTGAAATTTTTAAAGGTTTGCTCTGCTAATGACACCCTGCACAATGCCAACTTTTAACAGTTTTTATTTTATAGCCACACATTTTAATTAAAATATTAATATTTTGAACTCAATTATTCAGAGCAAACTACGAAAAAAATATATTCCTGCATTCGAACGCGATTTCCCTCTAACAAAGGCCGGAGATCAGTTCAGCTTCGTCATGGAAAAGCTGCTGCGACCTATCACTCAAATCCATTACAGTATTAGGCTATGTCCTCAATATCCTTCATTATTACAACCCGTCATTGTCAATAGCCCTCAATGTAAATACCATATAAGCTACAAAACATTGTGACTATACCCTTCTTTCACAGTCTTTGGCTTGGTAGAGATCAGAAGATACTGATCAGTTCCAGTGCATAATAATACAGATTGAATTGAAAAAAAGACAGCTTGAAAATGAAAAGATTGAATTTCAAAACAAATATTTATGGCAAAATGCATTATTAGGCCGATCCACAGTCACATCAGTGTTCATATATATTCTATGTATATAGTAAACAAATATACACGCAAATAATTAAATTTTTTTATTCAATTTTTTAATACGTATTTTATAGAATATTTCTGACAAAATATGTTGATATTCACTTAGAAAACGTACCGTTATCCTATGCAAAAGGAACTAATTGAACTCCAATATTCAAAAGTCTTCGTCAAAATAAATAAGCCGACCACTGTATATTCATATACATATGTGTATGTAAATGTATGAAAAACATATAGACTCTATATATAATAGAGTAAAAACATATCTATGTACATTTGTACGCACACCTTTATATTTTTTAACAATAAACTTTATTTGGTTTTAGGCCAATAAGTTTGTCAGACCGGTCGTGTACTGTTTACTATACTCAAGCTAGGTTTGTTCTTATCTACCTGAGAGATGCGCCTCTCATCGATAGCACAACAAAAACAAAAACAATAACAGAGAGCAAAAGTTGTGAAGCGACCTCTCTCTCTCTCTCTCCCTCTCTTTGGTTCTTTTAATGCTGGCTCAAATCAAGTTTACGGCAACGGCTCTCACGATCACAAATACTAACACAAATCGATGTTAACATTGGCATGTCTGATATGCAACGACTGTGCACATACAGTGTGTGTGTGTCTGTATGCATGTGTGTTGTGTGCAGTTGTGTTTTCATTGGGCATTTATTTTTAGACTTTTATATTCTTATTATCATTCTATACTCTACTTACTTGCGCCAAAGCCCAAGAAAACCACGCAGATGCTGAGCAAATGTGACTTGAAATATTTCAATATCATAATCACTTTTCTAGTTTTCAAAAGATTACAATTATATGCGTGCACGCATCTGTATTCGTTACAGTTTTTATTAATCCGACTTTTAATTAAGATGATTGTGCTATCAGGAAGCAATTTCGATCGCGCCGATCGACAACACAAACAGAACTGGCTTGAAAAATATTAAAACAGCGTTTGATATGCCTGAAAAGATTTGCAGCACGCCGAAGTCGAAATACCCTACAACATATATTGCGCATAATTTAGATTTGATATGTACTGAGATGTTTGTGTGTTCCACCTTTAAAATATGCCACTCGACAAGCTTATACGAATAGATGGCTTTAATATAATTACTCAAGTCGTTCTCATATGATTCACATTTCCCGCGAAAATACTGTACACTTACTCTGCAAGAGTATTAAACTGGAACTGTGAAATGCTGAAACGAGTTTAAAGAGCGCAAACTCAAAGAATATCAGATTTTAGAGAGTGAATTCCTGCTCTTTGAATGCCTAAGAGAATGTTGAATGATTAAAAAGAATAACGTTTAGAAAATTATGCAGAACATTATTTAGTATATTTACTTAATAATCAAGAAATACGGATATAAAATACATCTGCATAGCTGCATCTACATGCTAATTTATCAATGGAATACTTTATAAAACCTTTTTAAAGCTTGCTATTCTAACGGAACCTTCTCTTTGCCCTATTCAAACTTATTGCTTTTCAAATTAAACATTTTACAAATTGATAAGAGTCTTAATTTATCTGTGAGATTTGGTTACAGAATCCGAAATCGTATCTTACTGTGTGCTCGTTATCGATATTTCCTAACTGTGTGTGCAAATCTAAACGATGAATGCCAGCGATAGGCAGGTACAGGGTGATTAAAGAAAACAATATGGCGCCCTCTGTCAGTCGATAGTCAAACTAACAGTGCGGAACATTCATGGCAGTCAGCTTTCTGTCAGCTTGGCCAATACTGCGCATATTTAAACCCAGGTGGCGCTGCAAACGGGCGCCCTCCATGATTGCGCTTTAAGAAGTTCGACTTTTGTTTTGAGTTTTTAGTTCAAATTTTTATTCGCTTTTTTTTTTATTTACCACATTCTCACTGGTTTTTTTGCCTTTTATTTATAGTACGTATAGTTTATATTGATAATTTACAACTTACGGCTCTAACATAGAATGGCGTTAAATTAGAAATTACATAGTATACGAGCATAAACGATTCGTCTACCCTACACAAAATGACAATATTTTGCATGTTTGTTCATTTCTGTTCGCATTTCGGGGGTATTTTTATTTGGGGGCTTCGTTTATACATGAGTGTTAAGGATTGGAAAAACATTAATAATGTCAGTTAGGTTGTGAGGCTGTGAGGGGTAAGGTAAAGTAAAAAAGCCACAAGAATGTACAATAATCGTAATGTAGCCTTTTATTAATACACGTACGTACATATACAAATACATGCACATATACATACATATGTATTACATAAGTAAGTAGTAGGTAAGTTTGTAGAATGCAATAAATTCTAACGCCGATGCGCTCCGTTTCATTTTTACGTATATCCGTTGCTACGACAATTCACATTTAAATCATTAAATATTGTATTTTTAGCTTCTTTTTTTTTAAGGGGGAGCGGACTCCACGCTTCTTTGTTTTGTTGTTTACGTATATGTTTCATTTTGTTTGCATTTAAAATCTATAACATTTAACTTATCTCTTACGTACTTTCGTCTGTTGCAAATATTCTCTTATTGTTGTTCATTTATACTCGATTTTCGTGTAAAATACATAAATATAAATATATATATGTATATATATATATATATTGAGATTTATGTATGTGTATATATATATGTATATATATATTTATCTGTTGAACCTTATGCGCTAGTTACGTATACATCATGTGAAGGTTGCTTGGTTAGCCCTTAAGTGAATCAAACTGAAAAGAATATCAACTCGGAGCTCGCTTCGAGCACAGCTCGTCGCTTGGCCGAGAGATATCGATCGCTATCGATAACGATAATGTTATCGGTGTGGTTAGCATCTCTATGATAGCATTCAACTTACGAACAATTAACGAAACGAGATCAAAAGCAATTTTTCATGCACAATAAACGCGGACCGCAAATGCGACCCGCCGATTTCCGAAAGAACTCTAAGCTCTTATTCTATATGAAGACAAAACGAAACAACAAAAATCGCAACTAAAATAATAACACAATTAATTCATTCGTTTTTCTTTAATTTTTTGTTTGTTTTTTTTTTTTTGTTGTTGTAGATTTTTTCAAAACCAATAATTTATTCGTTTTGCCGAGGCAAAGTTTTTGTTTTTCTGCTTGTTGTTGTCAGATAATCTCATAAACGCTTTTCATTAAACTAAACATAATAAAAATAGGATTTAATTTAGTTTAAAAAACTTTAAAAATTACTTAAAGAAAACAGCTTCACGTTTCTTGTTGTTGTTGTTGTTGTTTGTGTTGTGTGGTGTTGTGTTGTTATTGTTGCACGCTTAAAAAGCCTAAGACGAAAACTAAACAAATTAATTTAAAATTAAACAGAGTTAACTAAAATTGCAATAAGTTTAAGCACGAACTATACACATTTTTGTATTATAATAATTTTTTTTTGTTTTTTAGTTTTCTATTATTCTGTTTTTGTTTTTGTAATATACTTTTACTTTGCTAACAAATTCTATTTATATTTAAGTTAAATTTTCAATAGTTTTGTTTTGTTTTTAATTAATTTTTGTTTTTGTTTTTTCCTTTTTGTTTTGTTTTTAATTGGTTTAAAAACGCGCCTTACAAAAATTCATATCAACAGAATTTAAATTTTACCTTTTAACATTTTATATGAGTATTTTTCTTTATTTTTTTTTATTTTTAGTTTATTCGAACAAAATAATTTAAACATAGCAGTAAGCAACAAAGTGTTTTTTTTTTGAGTGTGGGTCAGGGCAGGGCGTGGTGCGAGCTGCGGGTTGCGGGGCGACATTGGTGGTAAACAACATTTGAACAGAATTTTTGAGAAATAAATTTTGCTCGTTTTAAATCATAAATCTTACGCGGGCAAACAATGTTCAAATAGTTTACGACGATCTCTTCTTGTGGAATTTTAAATGAAAATTTGTAGTTTGTATTTTGTATTCGTATGCATAAATGTACGTATGTATGTATGTATCTAGGTAAGTAGATCTGCGTTCTGTCAACTACTTTTAGAGTTTTTCATTTACTTAGAGTCTACGAAATTTATTTGTAATTTTTGTTGCTCTTCGCTTTACGTATTTTCGGTTGCTTTTCAAACAATTTGAAATAGTTCTTTTATGGTACCATACAATATCAATATTATTAATTTATATATTCAATTATTAATTTAAGTTAAGTAAAGGGTTTATTTGTTACAATAATTTTCTTTTTGTTTTCGTTTTGCTGAATTGATTCTAATTCTGATCTAAATGCCCGCCCTGGACGGCCGCCGCCGCGGCCGCTGCCGCCGCTGCCTTCTGCGCCTGCGCCTGTTTCTCCTGCTCGTTGAGCTCCTTGATCGCCTGGATCTCCTTTTTCAATTTCATTCGTCGATTCTGGAACCAGATCTTGATCTGTCGCTCCGTCAAGCACAGCGCGTGCGCCATCTCGATTCTCCGTCTGCGGGTCAGATAGTGATTCGTGTGGAACTCCTTCTCCAGCTCGAGCGTCTGGTAGCGGGTGTATGTCTGTCGGCCGCGTCTCCTCAGACCATTTGTGCCTGTTTGGCGAGAAGAAAGTTTAAACATTAGTTAGGCTACAGCAAATATAGCCTTAAATGGCAACTAACACAAGATTAAGATCTGCAAGGCGACTTAAGCTTTCGCCTGCAATTGATCCCAGTTGAAGTCTTAATCAAATGTTTTAATGCCATTTTCAGCTGGTGTCTTCAGCAGAGACTGGGAATGCAAATACATTGACATAGCAAGACAGCGAGTGTGGGTTCAATTGCCTCATTTGGATCGTTTATAAACATTTCAACAAGCATGTTAAATTGATAAATCATTTTGCAAAATTTGCTACAGAAATCGTTCGCTATTTTTCTTCTTTACGTTTTTGTCTTTGCGAAAACATAAATATACATTTTTCAGCAACGATCAGCAACATTTTGACGTAGGCAGACAACAAGAAACCAAAAAACAAATAACAAAAAAAAAATACATATCATTTTTATTGCCATTGGCAGTTGCCTGTTGGCTTGTAGCTTGTAGCTTGAAGCTTGAAGTTGCGGCTGTATCTGTATCTTTTGGCGCAGAGATCGTTACTTTAAATTGAACGTTTGCTGCTGTGCCGCCGCGGCCAAGCTACGTTCGGGCTGCTGTCAGTCGTGTTGCATGCTGCACGTTGCACGTTGCACGTACCATATGCTGACTGGCAGCCTTTCAGTGACGTTGTGCCGTGTGCCACTTAAATTGCAGTTATGCCATTGTAATGCAACTTTAATTGGCCAACTCACAAAAGTCGACAACAACAGCATGGAATGTGACTGCACTTTAACAATTCTCTCTCCCTCCCTCCCTCTCTCTCTCTCTCTCTCTCTCTCTCTCCCTCACTATCTCTGTAGGCTGTGCTATTCTGCCGTGTTAATCTCTGATTTTAAATATTTATGAAGTTTAATTTGCCTCAAGTGCAATAACTCAATTTTATGTGCACACACACACACACACACACACATTCTCGACTGCATTATGCACAATCACAAGAGCACAAGAGCTGGAGAGAGATTTTATCACACACGCTCCCCCCTCCATCGCCCTGCCCGACTGCACTGTGGCCAATGGTTGCCAATGGACAATGTTAAGTAACTTTCGCATTTTATTGGGGCGGCTCTCGCAGTTTGAGTCTGGGCCGCCGTCAGCCCTGGCCTGGCCTGGCCTGGCCTGGCCTGGCAAAATGTTAAGTTAAATATTATGAGCATTTATTATGTTATAAATTTGGCCTAAAGGTATTAACAAATTTATGCCGACACGAAAGTCATAAAGTGAAAACGCATTTATCTTTCACATTTACCCGTACAAGTATTCCAGCATTCGAGTATGTATGTATGTGTGCGTGTATGTATGCATGTGCGTGTGTGCATGCGCCCAGACACACGTTAAATAAATGGCGAGAAAATTTTATAGACAATAAAAACGATATGAAAATAAATTTCCACCATGCAACAAAGAAATTATCTACTTATACGTTCAGACGAATGCATATACCATGATATGTTAATTTATACAATATAATTTTGTTATTTATTAATGAAAACATTCGCATATTACATTTATTTAATTGCAAGCAACGCAAAATGCTTTCAAAATATACAAATTTTGGCTGAGAAAATTTTTTCATTTTATTGCATTTTATATATTGAAAAATCGGAACGACTTTCTGATGGAGGTATTGAGATCGTAAGACATAATAATATAGGTTCACTAAGTTGTAAAAAATGCTGTATGTTCTCACAAAATATGACACTGCCACGTATAAAGCAAGCAGAGCGACTGCATTAATTAAAATATTGATTTATTTTTAAAGATTTATTAATATGGATTTTTGATTGTTAATATTTTATTTCAGATTTAGAGAAACCGGCAGTGCACCCTAAAAATTCTCTTTAATCTTAAGTCGGAAATTTGATTTAAAGATCAATTATTTATTTTAATTAATAAAAGAATTTTAAATTGAAATTCATTGAAATTCCAAATTTGATTCTAATTTAGTTAAATACTTTTGTTTTATTTGTTTAACTTTTTTTTGTCATTTTGTTTGTTAAGAGAAACTTATTTTATAACGTACAAATTATTCAAAATATTTATTTATTTTTTTTTTCAAATAATTTGTTAAGTTTTTTTAGTCTCAATATTTTACGCAATTTTTATGTATTAACACTAGTAATGTTATTTTTCCAAGATATCTGATAAGTTTTTTAGCCTAATAATGAAATCGGGCTATTTATTACTGGTCCAAACAGTTTCTTGATTCAGTTTTCATTGCTCTTCTTCTTCTTAAGGCGAGAGACTTTGCGATTGCAATTTATTCCCAAGCTCCACCCTTCCTTTTCTTAAAATGCAAATAATACAAATAAAATGGCAACCCGTAAATGCATAAATAAATTTATTTAGCACTAAACCTGTTTGCTGATTAACTTAAGTCTCAGCGCTTCACTCGGGCATTGCCACACACCGCCCCTTCTCTAGTGCACAGCCTCTTTCACACTTACTCGCGCTGGCTCACTCGCACGCACGGAGGCTGCGTTTTGTCCTGGCGCATGTCCTGTGCCAGTGGAATACATCACGCTGAGGTTTGCAAAAGTTTCATTTTATTTAGGAGGCAACTGGCAAGAAGGCGGCTCCCGACTCGGTTCCTGCTAGTACGTGAGTTGAGCTCAACAATTTTAAATGGAATTTGTCACGCGCCTGCCGCAGCCCCCCTTGCCCTGCACGCTATACACAGATACAGATATATATATGCAAAAATAAACTTTTTACCAAAGTTTGCTACCATTTTTTTTATACTTTGGCTTATTTTTTTTCGGGGCTCACTTTTTTTCTCCAGTGTTGGCCAAGTTTTAAATTTATTATGCGAAAAAGTGCGAAATTCATTTTGCTGCCTCGCTCTTCTTCTTCTTCTGCCGCTTCTGCTGCCACATCTCCTGCTGCGTCGCGCCATTTTCTTTTGTAGACTTTCCGAGCATTTTTGTGTATTTCTAAGTACATAATTTAAATGCTGGTATTTGCGTCAGCTGGGGGAGGGGGCGGGGAAGGGCTTCAACTAGACAATAAAACTTGCTATGGCAAGGCGCGAAATTTTTTTAGATTATTTAGACGAATACGAGCATTAAAGAGGAGGGGCAAATTGGAAGGGAGGAGGGGTAGGGAGGGGCGGAGGTATACTAGAATCTTTTGAGCACACTCGTATATCTCTCTTTGCCCGCGCCCAACCTTTGAGATACATTTTCAAGGTTCTGTCTACGCTGCTGACGGCTGATTTTCGTTTTTATTTAGGCGTAGGGAGCGGGAGTGGAAGGGGGAGGGGCCTACTTGCTGTGTAGCAGCTGCGCCCGGGCGCCCAGTACGTGTTGTATTTTTTAACTTAAATTCCTGCGGGATTTAAAGTTTTGACAGCTTACGTGTTTGCCTTTGCAGCGAACTTTGAACCAAGCCCGAGACTCCCCCCCTCTTCCAAAAAAAAAAGAAAAACAAACCCACGCCTTTGGCCAACTGCCACAAACAGTGGCTGCATCACACTCACTCTCTTGTTCTGTCTCTCACTCTCTCTCTCTCTCTCTTTCTCTCTGTCTCTTTCTGTCTCTTACTGACTCACCCCTGGCCAGGGCGTTGCCAATAAATCTCCAGGTGACGGTGACTCCATGTTGCATGCGGCGCATCGTGTGATCTATGCTTCTATTATAACTATTTATATACACAGATACCCAGCTACAGATACAGATACATGTGGAGAAACGGGCACAGATACACGCACTAGCCGTGCGCATGTGTGTGCTATACACAGTTATATACTTGTGGCTGGCAGGCTACAGCAACTACTTATATTTAATTCGATTTCGGCCCAACTTCCCAGTTCCAGTTCCAATTCCAATGGCTTCCCTAAACGCTACCTTAGATACCTCCCTTCCTCCCCTCCCTCCCACACTCCCTCAAGCGTGCTCTAATTTATGTTTTGTTTTGTCGTCGCTGTTGCCTTTGCCGGCACATAAAATTGTCACGCACGCGCCCGCCACTGGGCCAGAAGTGAGAAGAATCCATCGCGGAACACGTCCCAAAGCACATGACCAAAGTCTGAGAGCACTTTGATAATCAGGCAACAATTTTGTTTGTAATTCGCTGGAATTACACTCGCTTAGCTGGAAAAGGGGTGACGGCGCAGACGAAGTAATTTTGGTATATACGATTGGGATCTGAGATATTTTTAAAAACTGTCGAAAATATTTAGCTCTCCGATTTTTATATTTGGATCTTATGCAGACCCTAGACGCATCTTTAAAGGGTTTTTGGATTTGATTCTTAGGAAAATAGAAATAAATATATGATCTGCCAATTATCGTGAAAAGCATATGATTGTTTTAAGCGAGTATTTGTACTTCTAAAATTATTTTGATAGCGCTGATTCGTCGTATCATTTAATACACATCAAATATAAATTAATAAACAATTTCAATATAATTCTCATAAATCTCAAAGCTGTTTATTTCACTTGAATAGGCCTGAGATCTGCTGAGTCGCAAAAGCTGTCCGTAAGTCGCTCAACCGGAAAATGTTTGACAGAAACCCTTTTCTGCCAAAAGTCTCTCTCTCTCACACACACACACACGCACGCATAAACAATCCATATAAAATCGATTTATTGAGTGTTGGCTTCCATGCCAGTCCCCCTTCCGCCCGCTTCCTTTGTCGCCTTTGTCTTACTCCGATTACTACGACGCACGCATTTTGTTAGCAATTTAATTAAATCTATTTTCGTGCGTGTTGCTCGTAGGCGTGTTTCCACCTTATGACGTCCGGGGGGCAAGGCAACCTACTTGCTTTTACATGCATATATGTATGTATATATGTGTGTATATATATGTGTTCATATATGTATGCTGGATTTGGGCTACTCGAGAGTGTCGATAAAACAATTAAATGCGCCAGAGAGACGCACAAAAGCCGCAGAAAATCAAACCGAAGGCTGATTGCGAGACGGAAAACTAATTTTCCGCACTGCCAATCGAGG